AGGTGGACGGGGTGGTGGGGCAGGGCCCTGCTGCTGGCAAAGAAGCTCCCTCACTCCCCATGCTGTGCTCGAACTTGAACTTCTCGTAGGGCAGTAGCTCAAGTGTCAGACCGACCGTGTCTACACCTGCTTCTCTGTCACCTCACGGTGTGGCGCTGGCTTCTGTAGGGAGCTGGGCTGTGCGACTAACAGGTCACGGCCTCTCCGCTTCGGGGAAGGGGATGCGCAGGGTTGGGTCCCAGAGGCACAGGGTAGAGGAGGAAAAGGCAATACAGGCCCACCCCGCCCCTGCACCTTTCCCAGAGGGGGACAGCGAGCCAGAACAGGCCCCTGAGGACATTACCAGCACGGCCTTGCCAGACCTCCCCCCTGCCCAGCCCCCCAGCACATGAACTAGATCCTCCACCAAGAGTGGCTGTGTCTCTCCCCATCACAGGATCAAGGCTGAGCCCCTCCATTGTCCTTGAATGGGCCTCACCTCAATCGCCTGTCTGAAGGCTATGTTTAAAGGGGCAGGCCCAGCATACCTTGGGACAGAGCCAGAGCGGGGCAGGCTTTGAGTCTTTGCTTCCTCAAGCAAAAGGCATTTTCCACGCCCAATTCATGGACGAGGCTAGTGGAGAGCCAGGGGGACTGGGCGCTCTGAAAATACACCCACAGATGGCTCCTGCCCCAGGGGAATCGGGACAGAATTTCAGCGAAGCAGAGGCCTCCTTCACTCTGCCCCCACCTCATGATGGCCCGCGTGGCCCAGCACCCCCTCGGGCTTCCCCCGCCCAGGGGAGCGGGAGGCCCGGTGCCCGGGGGTGACTCCATTGCTTGTTGTCGCCTCCCCCAAGGCCTGAAGACCATTGTGGGGGCGCTGATCCAGTCCGTGAAGAAGCTGGCCGATGTGATGGTCCTCACCGTCTTCTGCCTCAGCGTCTTCGCCCTCATCGGCCTGCAGCTCTTCATGGGCAACCTGAGACACAAGTGCGTGCGCAACTTCACGGAGCTCAACGACACCAATGGCTCCGTGGAGGCCGGCGGCCAGGTCTGGGACTCGCTGGACCTCTACCTCAACGATCCAGGTACGCGTTCGCCCCGGGGCCCGGGCCAGGCTTTCTGAGGCCTCCAGGGCTGGACCACCGCCCACACCGGCCTTGCCACTGGGCAGGCCTCCCTGCAGGGCCGTCCAAACCCTGCCTGACCCCCAGGAGATGCAGCTGCGGGCTCAGGGACCCCAGCCCCTACCCTTTGGACTCAGAGAGAGGAAGAAGGGGAGCAGATGTAGGGCTGCCCTCCGAGTTCTCAGGCTGCGTGGGAGATGATGCTTCAAGGTTGGCAAAGAAGGGGTTCGGGCTCAATGGAGAGCCAGACGGGAGCGGCAGCTGCGACATGTTGAGGGACTGGCCCTAGAGCGCCGGGAGCCGTGCGGAGCCCGTCCAGCCTGCAGAGAGGGGAGTGCTGGCTGGGGACAGGGTGGGACACGGAGCCGGCATAGCTTATCAGGCTCCAGAGCGGAGGCCCCACCTGCATGGCACGAGATTTTTTTTCAGTTGACCTCGGGGTTCCTTGCCAGGATGTTAATGCCACATGCGTGCTCCCCAGAACCCCATGAAAGGGAGGGGGCAAGCTTAGTGATTGCACAGTCATGTGAGGCCCTGTGGTGCCATTGCCCCATGGGTGACACTGCCATGCTCCGGGCTGGTGGCCAGCACATCTCTTGGCGAGTGCCATGGGTCTGGACCAAGGGAGACACTGTCCTAGGCCGTATTCCACAAGGACCCTGAGGGCCACTGTGAAGTGAGGGCCTCGCATGCACCAGCGACCACTTTGGGAAAAGAAGTATAGGCAGAACCTCAGTGGGGAAACTGGCATATGGCTCAGCTGTGGCCCCACAGCACTGGTTCCAAGGTTTCATGGGCGCCAGTCACCTGGAGGACTTCTGGGGGCCCACCCGGAGCTTCAGTAGATTGGGGAGGGGGCACCCAGGAAGTTACATTTCTCTCCAGTTCTCAGTTGACGCCGCTGGTCCCAGGACCACACTTGGAGAACTGCTGCCTAATACTAAGGCAGGGAGCAGTGAGTGCTGGGGACTGACGGATGGCCACAGAGGGGAGAGGACCTGGTCCTGCCCACCCTCCCCCGAGCCCTGTCTGAAGAGACCACACTCTGGCCACGGTGACTGTGGCAGGCGTCACTTCCATCACTTCATGCACAAGGAAGTAGGTCCAGACAGAGCTGGGCCGTCGCCTGCTGAGGCCACGCTGTGACTCGGCAGCCCAGCTGGAACTCTGCCCAGGCCCCTGCCTCCTAGTGCAGGGCCTCTCTTGGCCCGGTGGCCCCTTGTGTGGCATGAGGCAAAGTGCAGATGCTCCCTGTGGGGACTTCTGAGTCTCCCGAGAGAGCTAGGGACTCTGGCAGCTGAATGTCAGAGGAGGAGGAGGAGGAGGAGAGGTGGGAAGACCACCACCTGTGTCTCTACCTCTGCAAAGTCCTGGGTGCAAGGCCGGAGCCCAGGAGGCTGGGCCACCTTGACCCTCACCACTGGATATGTCTCTTCCAGAAAATTACATGCTCAAGAACGGCACCAGCGACGTGTTACTGTGTGGGAACAGCTCTGACGCCGGGTATGTGGCACTCCCCCCGCCGCCCCCCCGCAAGGACCACCTCGCCCAGCCAGGGGAGTCTCCTGGTGCTTTCTCAATATGCTTTCAGGTTTGGCCCGTGACCCAGGGTCAGCAAGGCCTCCCCCTGCCTCCCTCCCTGCCGGGTCCCTGGCAGCTTCCCCAACCCTCTCCCCTACAGCAGAGATGGCTGTGAAGGGGGTGAAGAAAGGGATGGGGGTACAGATCTGCAGGGAGGGCGAACAGAGCCCTGAAGATGGGGTGGGCCTGAGAGTAGCCTGGAGGCCCTACAGGGCCCCCGACTAGCTCAACCCTGGCTCCATTCCTCCCAGAAGCCCCCCAGGCCTGCTCCTTCCCACTCCCTCCCTGCTGGTCTGTGCATCGGGTCAGGAGTGAGTCTGGGCTCCCCTAGCAGCCTAGACTCTCCTTGACCTGCGTGTGGTACCACAGGCCCAGTGTCGTGTGCACACCGGGGCCTGGGTAGGTGATGGGCTATAGGATGTTAGGGGAGGGGACACACGGGCTCGCCTGGTGGGGAAGGTGTCTGTGGGGCTGTGGTCCCCCACCTCTGAGTATGAAGTGCCAGAGTCCTTTGTGTCACTAAGAGATTGTCTCAGGGTCTGAGGACATCAGCAAGGCACAGAGGCCCTTGGCTGATCCTCCCGCTTGCTGAGCCGCCCCTGCCCCTTCTCTCTCCTGCACGGCAAGCACACGTGAAGCCAGCCCTGGGCTCCGTCTCTGGGAGAGAGGCTGCCCCTCCAGCTCAGCGAACTGTGGGTCTGCCTCGTTGCACCCCGTGCACAGTCATTCTGTAGACGTGGCCAGGGCCAGCCCGCCCAGCCCAGAAGCATCCCCCAACCCCGTGGCCCAGCCTCTGCCCTGGGCTCCATCCTGTTCAGCTCAGCCAAGCCTCACTGCTGGCCTGCGTGTTGGCACTGTGCTCACTCCCATGGGGTGGCAGGCAGAGGAAGAGACGTGAGCCAGGCCCTCAGCACTTCCTCTGCGAGGGGCGAGGTGGCTCCGACAGCAGCCGGGATGGTGTGTCTTGTGGGCTGAAGGGGGCTGGGTTTGAGCCCAGCAGAATACAGACGGATGGAGAAAAGGGGAAGACAGGGTCCCTGGCAGGAGGAGGCCCAGCATGGAAAGCCGTGGGGGCAGCACCGGGCAGTGGGGCAGATGCTGGGCTGCCAGGAAGACGAGCCAGTCCCAGCAAGGGTGTCGGGGGCAGAGGACCCCTCACAGCATGAGACGGAGTCTGCGTGTCTGTCTGCAGGACGTGTCCCGAGGGCTACCGGTGCCTGAAGGCAGGCGAGAACCCCGACCACGGCTACACCAGCTTCGACTCCTTCGCCTGGGCCTTCCTGGCCCTCTTCCGCCTGATGACGCAGGACTGCTGGGAGCGCCTCTACCAGCAGGTGCGTGCGTGCTCGGGCCAGCAGAGGGACACCAGGAATGGGCTCAGGACCCCGCACCGGGGCCCAGGCTGTCCCTGCCAGAGTGGCTCCAGCAACTGAGGAGGGTCAGGGGGCAGGGGACCCTTGCATTTGAGGGATGGGGGCTCAGCAAACAAAGAAACTCTCTCTCTGCTGATGACCAAGTACCCATCCCTTGGACATTCTGCTCTGTGAGTGGGACTCCCCTCCACCCTATGTGATGGAATAGTCCCCTCTGTAGGTACATTTCCCCTGCTGACTGTGACAGGCTGCCCCCTCTGTGGGTGGGACACCCCTCCCTGTGTGTCGGTCATTCTCTGTAGGACACTTCCCTCTGTAGGTGGGACACTCTCTGGCCCCTCCCCAGGTGTGGCCATTTGAACGCCTGGCACATCCAGACTAGGCCACTCTGAAATGCCATGACCATGACCCAGAAGGGGGCCCAGGGAGGTTGACCTCTGCCCCCCTGATCCCCCAGACCCTGAGGTCCGCAGGGAAGATCTACATGATCTTCTTCATGCTTGTCATCTTCCTGGGCTCCTTCTACCTGGTGAACCTGATCCTGGCTGTGGTCGCCATGGCCTACGAGGAGCAAAACCAAGCCACCATCGCTGAGACGGAGGAGAAGGAAAAACGATTCCAGGAGGCCATGGAGATGCTCAAGAAAGAGCAGGAGGTGGGTGAGCGGTACAGCCACGGGGCCTCCAGACCAGGCCCTCCCCTGACTGTGGGTGCCTGCAAGCATGGTGCCTGCTGGGTGTGCTGGTGCCTGGAGGTGTGGTGCCTGCTGGGTAAAGGTGGTTCCTGTGAGCATAGTGCATGCTGGACAAAAGAGATCCATGTGTCCATGAACATAGTTATCCTGGTCACAGGTGCCTTCTGGTGGGGCAGTGAGAAGGGTCCAAGGTTGGAGGCCTGAGCCAGCCTAGAAAATAACCACAGAGCCATAGGAGGTTTGGCTCAGTGAATAGAGCGTTGGCCTGAAGGTCCCAGGTTCTATTTCAGTCAAGGTCATGTACCTCAGTTGCAGTCTTTTTTTTTTTATTATTGATTTTTTACAGAGAGGAAGGACAGTGAATAGAGCATTGGCCTGAAGGTCCCAGGTTCGATTTCAGTCAAGGTCATGTACCTCAGTTGCAGTCTTGATCCCCAGCCTGGTGGGGGCACATGCGGGAGGCAGCCAATCGATGTGTCTCTCTCCCATCCATGTTTCTCTCTCTCCCCCTCCCTTCCACTCTTTCTAAAAAATCAATAAAATAATATCCTCCGGTGAGGATTACTAAAAAACAATAAATAAAAAGAAAACCACAGAGCAAGCCTGTTGGAAGCCAGGCTGTAGACATCTACTTTCTTCTCCCTGCCCCATGCCACCACCCCCAGCACCCATTTTGGCTAGCCAAACCTTCTAGAAGGTCCTCTGACCTCTAGTTCTTTCACTTCAGCTCATTGACACCCCATCCATCTGTCCCCCACACTCGCCTCTTCCAAACGCTGCCACGTCGGCCACGACTCTCCTCCTCCCTGGACTTGGTTCTTTCATAGAACATTCTGGGTCTGTCTGAGCTCATCTCTCCATGATGCCCTGATGTGGGATTAAATGTGCAAGTCCCCTTACTGATGGGGAAAACCAGGGCCCCGAGAGTTACCTGGTGGGTCTTAGCCTGCGGCTGCATGTAGTCCCGATGACCAAGACATCCCTTCTTCCGCCCTTTTCCAGGCCCTCACCATCAGGGGTGTGGACAGCGTGTCCCGCAGCTCCTTGGAGATGTCTCCTCTGCCCCCAGTCACCGCCCACGAGAAAAGGAGCAAGAGGGGGAAACGATTGTCTTCGGGGACGGAGGAGTGTGGGGATGATAGGCTTCCCAAGTCGGACTCGGAGGATGGCCCCAGAGCAATGGTAGTCCCCCGCCGTGGCCCTGCCCCCGTTAGGGCAGATCAGAAGCCCTTCATGTCAGGCCCCTGGTACAGTCACCGATGGCTGCTCCCCAAGGAGGGCATCCCGCAGCCCCTCCCAGCCCTTCCTGTTTCCCATGGCCATGTTTGGGGTCGAGGAGCCCCGGGCAGCGGGACGGGGTAGGTCTGGGTGTTATGATATCCCACATTTCAGCCAGGTCCCCAGCATTGATCTGGGACTGGTAGACACCCTACAGTGTCAATTGGTAGGACGCCAAGGACAGGCCCATATGAGTGAGGGGCATGGCTGCTCGGGCCAGGCTGGTCTACACTGCAGGAGCCTTCCTGCCTCCTCTCCCCCTGCCCAGCCTTAGCCCAGGTGAGCGTCAATCTCAAAGCCCCAGAGGCACAAGCTACAGGTGAGCAAAGGTCCCCCAAATGACAAGATTGCTCTAGCCCCGCCCCCCTTCCCTGAACACCCCACCCCTCGGCCCAGCTCACCCAGACTGTGTGGCCAGCTAAAGCCCGCAGTCCTCTGAGAAGGTGAGCTGGACGGATGCCACAAGAGATGAGCTGGGAGCACCGGAAGGGCTGTCGTGGTGATGTCCCCTCTGCCTGTGCCCTCAGAACCACCTCGGCCTCACCCAGGGCCTCAACAGGACCTCCGTGAAGTCATACTCCAGGCGAGGGAGCATTTTCACCTTTCGCCGGCGAGATACGGGGTCGGAGACAGATTTTGCCGATGATGAAAACAGCACGGCGGGGGACAGCGAGAGCCACCGCACGTCACTGCTGGTGCCCTGGTCCCTGCGCAGGCCTAGTGTCCAGGCACAGCCCAGTCCTGGGACCTCAGCTCCCAGCCACGCCCTCAATGGCAAAAGGAACAGCACCATCGATTGCAATGGGGTGGTCTCCTTGCTGGGGGCAGGCGACCCTGAGGCCACCTCCCCAGGGAGCCACCTCCTCCGCCCCATGATGCTGGAGCGCCCCCCAGACACGGTGAGCCAGCCCCGAGATGCAGCGCCAGGGCAGAGCTGGTCTCCAGCTCATCACCAGGGTCGGGTCGAAATACACTCACCCCGTATTTACTGAGCACCTGGTGTGTGCTGGGTTCTGGGGGTGCGTGATGCTGACAAACAGGGATGATAGTTAAGTATTTAATAATTGGTAAATGACAGCTAAGTGTTTAATAATTGGTAAGGCCGGGGCACTGAGATGCCACGGTGGCACGGAGCCAGTGTCCTGAGGACCCCTGTGTACCCTGTAGACCTGCTAGGTCCTTGGCAGTCCGGAGCCTCCTGGGAGAAGGGCCAGAATGCCAAGGGGACACTTCCCAGGTTTTGGCCAACAGTTAGTCACCAAGTCTGAAACGTGTCAGTACATTAAAACCGGTGACTCAGTACTAGCCCAGTAAGTCGTGTGGAGGATGGGAACAGAGAAGAGGGAGAAGGAACCCCATTCACTAGGAGGCATTTAGACAAATGGAAGCAAAGGTGGGAGCCAGGCTGCTCTCTGAAACTCCCAGGGGTGGTATAGAGGAGTGGACCGCACCCCAGGTTCTGGAGACGAACTGGTTTATAATCCGGCTTAGCTGCACGGCCGTGGGAAAGTTACTGTGCGTCTCTCGCCTGTAAAATGGGTTAAAAATGCCCATCGCAGGATTGTTGCAAGAGTGAAGGGCCTCACATGGGTAAGGCAATTAGGATGAGCGTATGATGTTGTGATAACATCATCATAACATACTGTCATTACCTCGTCTGGGGGAGGCAAGTTCCAGGCCTAGAAGACAGCAGTGCAAAGGCCCTGAGGCAGAAACTAGCCTCGCCGAGGGGAGGACGTGCCATGAGGTCAGTGTGGCGGGAACCCAGGGAACAAAGGGGAGAGGAGTTGGAGTTATTGTCAAAAAGGTAACGAGGAGGGGCAGGCTAGGTCATGAGGGACCAGTTAGAGTTGTCATCTCTCAGTCAGCCAGTCCCGTGACAGACTGATGGCCGCCTGATCAGTCCTTGCTGACCCCTGACCCCCATCACAGTGCCCAGAACAGCCCGCCCAGGCAACGGGCAAACACGTGGCTCAGACCCCAGTGCCTACAAGGACATGGAAGAGGGCAGGCTCTCTGAGGAAGCTGGAACAGGACAGGGAAATGGTCAGGAACGGGGAGGGGAGGCTGAAGAGGAACAGCTCACAGCCAAATGGCCTGTTTTGCTCAGACGCTTGCTCTAGCTGCGCGACTCTGCACAGATTCACACAGCTCTCTGTGTCCCCCATTCCCTCATCTGTAAGGGGACAATAAAGGGAATGTCCACCCCAGCAGGTTGTGGCGAGGACTGAGTTAACACCTGCCCGATGCTCAGCCCAGTCCTTGCCTCATGTTCCAGTCATTATTATTATTATTATTATTATTATTATCTGTGATTGTAATTATTGAGCAGGAAGGAATCAAGACTCCTGGGGCACAATGCACAGCGCCTGGGGCCCTCACACTCCTCTGGGGAAACCAAAGGGGAGGGGGGGGCTCGGAGCAGACCGCAGCTTCCGGGTGAGTCCGGGAGGCCGCAGGCCATCCCCTGTAGGGTGGGGTACCTGACTTCCCAGGAGCACCACATCCCAGTGGCTGCAGACCCCGCTTCATGCCCAGCCCTGGAGCCTCAGCCCCGTGGAATCGGGTCAGCAGCCTGGAAGCTAATAGAACCTCCTAATCTCATTAGGGAGAGAATCGTCTCGTAGGGCACATGTCGGGAGGAGTCCGAGTTCAAACACTTCATTACCGGGAATTCTGACTTCAGCATTCTCACTTCGGTGGGGCCCATTTGTAACCTTAAAGGGATTAGCTTGGCCAACGGGGGTCATTTGCGAAGTTAAAGGAATTAGTGGGCCGAGATGGAGACTCTGAAAAGTTAAAGAGATTAGCAGGCTGCAGGCCCCGGGAATGCCTTCCTGGCTTCTGGTTCCCGGTGAGACGCATCTACCCATTTCTCATCAGAAAACAAAGCACAGTGTCAGGCACGTAGTGGGCGCCGAGTCAACAGGGGAGGGCAGGAGGGAGGGCCACCCCAACAGACAGCGCATGTTTCATTTATCCAGATTGCTGATCCCTTGCTGACCCCTGACCCCCAACACAGTGCCCAGAACAGCCCGCCCAGGCAAAGGGCAAACATGTGGCTCAGACCCCAGTGCCTACAGGGACACGGAAGAGGGCAGGCTCTCTGAGGACCGGGAAATGGTCCTGTTCCCTGTTCCCTGTCTGCGTGGCTCAGACCCCAGTGCCTACAGGGACACAGAAGAGGGCAGGCTCTCTGAGGAAGGTGGAACAGGACCGGGAAATGGTCCTGTTCCCTGTTCCCTGTCTGCCTGGGAGTGCCTGTCCCAGAGGGTCAGGTGGGGCCGGGTGAGGCACAGTGAACAGCCGCTCCCTAGATTTCATCCCCTTCCCCCCACCATCTAGCAAGTGAGGGGCAGAGCTAGAGCTCTAACCCCAGCCTCCCCATTCCCAAGGATCTATCCATCCACCAGGATGTATCCAGGGCCAGCTGGCTGCCTTGAGTGCCACTCAGTGTTTGAGACTCCAGGGTTATTGCAATGAAACAGAACAGACAAGAGCCCTGCCCTGGTGGAGTTTGCCTTGTAGTCAGGAAGACAGATAGTGAACGGGTCAGCATTTCCAGGTAGCAATAAGGGTCATGTTATAGGAAGTTGCCAGGGGGAGGGATGGGGATGGGAGCTATGAGTTAGAATAATTGGGGAAGGCCTTCCAGCGGAGCTGACATTAAAATTGACAGGCAGATGATTTAGGGAGCCAGCCACAAAGACATGGGAGCGTAGTGTTTTAGGCAGAGGGAACAGCAATTGGAAAGGCTCTGAAGAGAAATGGGCATGACACGAGAGAGCCGGGCAAGACCAGGTGTGGTGGAACCTGCGGGAAGGGATCTGGAATGAGTTTGATGAGTTAGGATTTGGACTATGCAAAGCCTTGTAGGTCATAGGAAAGTTTGAATTTATCCTGAATAAGATGGGGAGCAGTGGGCTGGGGGGAGCTGTTGATCAGAGGCATAGCATGATCTGATTTTTAAGGGACTCCCTTTCTGCTGTGTAGTGGATATAGGGAAGAGAAGAAGAGGTCAGTTAGGAGGCTATTGTGGTAGTTTTAGGAAAGGGGTGATGATAACTTGCACTAGAATGGTGTATCAGTCAGCTATTGCCACACGTAATGGTGTGTAACAAACTACCCCTGAAGTCAATGGATGACAAGTTTTTATTCTCACGCTCAGTCCTCTGCAGGTTGACAATGGTTCGGCTGGTCTAGGTTGGGCTTGGCTGGGCAGCTCTGCTTCGGACTTCACGTTGGCTTGGCTCCACACTGGGTCAGACGTGGGGCTGCTCCTGTCTATGTGCTGAGTGAGGCCCAGGCTGCAGGAGTGGCAGCTACCGAGGGAAGCTCTTTTCTGGGAGGATGACTGGAGCACAAGAGCAAGGCCAATGGCACAGCTTGTTTCAGGCTTTTCTGTTCGCACCATGTCCACTGACATTGCATTGGCCCAAGCGAGTGTGTTACCAAGAGGACAGGGAAGTTTGTTGGTCCACCCTGGAAGGGGAAAGAGTAAATACTTGCTAAATGATAACTCGAACTCTTACCAACAGTAGAGGAGGAGGCAAGAGGTTGGGAGGATTTAAGACAAACTGGTGAGTTCCGCTGGCCAGGAGTACCTAGGTACTGTTATTACACCAGCCACCTCAGCCCTGACAGGTGCCTCTGCTCGCATACTTCCAATGACAGGGAGCTCACTACCTCCCTGGGCAACCTTTCAGGGCAGTCCCCCCAGTTGCAAAGGTCGACCGGAACTTGAGCCCAGATAAATTTAGCTCCCACCCCAGGCCCTGGCTCTGCCACCCTGGGTAGCCTAGGCCCATCCTCCCTGTGACCTATAATGGTCATAGAACCTTGGTCTTGCACGCTGAGCAGCCAGGTGCCTTCAGCAAACCCCAGCGCCGGCTCACAGACTGTGGCGATGCAGGGCTGCGCTGATGGGCAGCCTTCGTGGGCCGCCCGTGGTTCTGTGGGGGGCAGGGGGGTGCTGAGTGAGCCCGGAGACGGCTGCTGCATCCGCCTTTGTCAGGACACGTCTCCAGCTGCAGGCCTGGTTCCTTCCCCTGCAGCAATGAAGCGAGCACATTGAAAACAGGCCCCAGGGTGCAGCCCAGGGCACACACATGGAGCTGCCTCGCTGTCTTCATTGTCTGTATCAGAGTCCAGAATCTGAGTGTCCCCACAATTGGTTTTCAAATTCTTCCGACTGATTCGTTGTTTTGTTCCTGTGGTACCGGGGGCAGTGCTGCAATGGACACCATCGCATGTATGTTTTTGGCGCGTGTGCATAATTATTTATGAGGTTAGATGACCAGATGAATAACTGCAGAGCCAGCTTACAATTCTCTTGGTGGAAAGAGCCAAAGTGTCTCCACAGAAGTCGCCACCAGCCACGCGGAAGCCTTGTGCTTTATGCTGCTATGACTGTCGCCAGGGAGCATGGCAGATTTTTTTTTCAGCTTCGTTATGTTCTTGACTCTAGGGAGCTTGTGGTCAGTTAAGACTCCCGGATCATCCTTGCATGGACTAACATGTACAACAGCATCTGGTTAATAGAACTCGGTCATGTAGTTCCTGTCCACAGTCAAGAACCACCATTGCCTGGAGATAGTGAAGAATAGAGAATGAAGGAGATAATAATTGTTGAGAGGGGTGGGGTGGGGGGATGTTAACTGGAAGGGAGGTGGGAGCAGAGAAGCCCAGCACCCGCTGTCCCATCAAGACCCCCATCCTGTCTCCCTGTGACCTTCCCAACCTGAGTCTGAACCAGCTGCCCCAGGCCCAGCAGCTGCCCCAGGCCCAGCGGACACCGGTCCCCAGGTTGACGCCTATCTCCCGATGGTACGCAGACCACTCCGTCGGAGGAGCCAGGCAGACCCCAGATGCTGACGCCCCCGGCTCCGTGCATGGATGGCTTCGAGGGGCCAGGAGAGCGGCAGCGGGCCCTCAGCGCAGTCAGCGTCCTCACCAGCGCCCTGGAAGGTCAGCACCCCCCGGCCCTGGTCTCATCCAAACACTCCCACTTCCGGTCTGGGCACCCTCGTCCTTACCCGGACCTGAGCCAGGCCTCCCCCAGCTGCTCGCCTGCCTTGGACCATCCCCCAGCGGTTCCAGACTTCTCCGTCTGTGTCCCCTGCCCCAGGTGTTTCATTCGTTTCCGCTTGTCCTTTCCTGGGCATTGTCAGGAGCCGTGTCTGTTGCTTTCAAGCTTTCCCACAAGTGTCCTGGCCTGTCCCAGGTGCCGATCAGTCTCATCTGGTCCTCCCCTGAGCCCCTCCCTGTCTGCCAGGGGCCATCCTCCCCCAAGCATGCCTGCTCTGGCCTCATCCCAGCCAGTCCCACCCTCGGCAACACCCATCTTGTTCCCTCCTGCCCCATGTGTGTTCACAGTTTCTCCGGCCTGTCCCAGGCACCACCACACCCCCTGTCCTAACACGTCCACAGCTATTCACTCCTGAGTGTCCTTAATATCTGAACTCGCCTGTCTCGGATGCTGCCTCCTTTTCAGTCTGTCCTGATCTGTCCTGTCCCAGTTTTCCCCACATCCATCCCTGCCCCCTGCCCTGTGGTCCTCTTCTCCCATATTTCCAGGGTAAGGAGTCAAGACACAGCCCCCCTCCCCTTCCCTTTGTCTTCCCTGCCCCTTTCGAGGACCCCCTGCCATGCATCAGCCCTATCCCCTCCCCGGCTAAGCCACCCATCTTTCCGGAGCACCCTGAGTTATGTATGAATCAGTCAACAAAAGCAAACCAGCTCCCCGGTGTCCCCCCAGAACTGGAGGAGTCTCACCGCAAGTGCCCGCCATGCTGGAACCACTTCGCCGAGCGCTACCTGATCTGGGATTGCTGCCCCCTGTGGATGTCCATCAAGCAGAAAGTGAAGTTCATGGTCATGGACCCCTTCGCCGACCTCACCATCACCATGTGCATCGTGCTGAACACGCTCTTCATGGCCCTGGAGCACTACAACATGACGACGGAATTTGAGGAGATGCTGCAGGTCGGAAACCTGGTAAGGGCCGCTGGGAGCTGACTCCAGAGGGGGCATCCGGGTGCGAACGGCTCTCGGGCAGCTGTCCCAGCCTGCCTGGCTCTGGGCGCAGGGATCCAGAGGACAGAAGGATTTTCCGATGGTGGGGTCATCGTGGAAGGCATCGTGAAGTAAGGAGTTTCAGCATCAGCATTTAAGGAACTGAGAGATGTAGTTGGGAGGGAGAGGTTGGGGATAAAGGTGAATGAAGATGCTCAGAGGTGACAAAGCAAAAGGGAGGTGGGGGTGAGCCTGAAATGGGTGGGGACGTGAGATTTGGCAATAGTAGATGGAGGAGAGGAGGGGGTGCAGAAGGAGGCAATTCTCTTATAGCCAGAGTTTCTGTAGGTGGACATCGATGTTTGTTGGATAGAGAAGAGGATGGATAGATGGATGGATGGATGGGTGGGTGGATGGATGGATGGATGGATGGGTGGATGGATGGATGGAGAGAGGGATAGAGAGATGGATGGATGGATGGATGGAGGGAGAGAGGGATAGAGAGATGGATGGATGGATGGACAGCTGGTTGCAGCGAGTAAATGAAGCAGAGCCAGATTTGAATTCTGACTCAGCTCTTACGAACTATATGTGACCTCAAGCAAATCACTTCGGCTCAGTAATTGCACAAAACATATTTCTTGAATTTAATAAATGTAAAATTAGTATGACAATGTCAGCTTCATGGGAAGCTAATGAGGACTGAATAAGATAATACGTGTAATGTCCTTGGCTCAGAGTTTGATAAACAATAAGCACTAAAGATAAATGATAGCTGTGGTTATTACTGTTGTTGTTATTATTAAAGAGACTGTCCCTGGAAGTCAGGATGCCTGGGTTCTAATTCTGATTTCTTTCTCCTGAGATGAAACCAAGCCCCACCTCTTCACTAGAAAAAGGGGAAACTGAGGCCTGAGAGGGGACACAGTGGTGACAGAGCTGGGCATGTAGCTTCTATCTCCTGACTCTGAGCGACAGAGCCCGATTGGCTGTGTCCAGATAAACACAGTCAGCCCTTCCCCCAGGGGAGCCCCAGGAAAGGCTGGCAAAGACCCCACTGGTTTCCAGAAGGAGCTCCCAGGATCATCACCGAGTTTGGGGAGAGGAAGGGAGTCATTTGCTCTAACCCCTCTCTTCCTGCAGACCCAGGCCTGTCTTGTCCAGCTGCACAGGGGCCCACCCCCAACCAGGCAGGCAGGTCTCCCACACTTTGGGGTATGAAGATTGTCTTCTCTTATTACTTTCCATATCCAGGACTCTGGACAGTTCTCTGCAGGATCTAGTCAGATGTTTTCACAATTGTGTGCATTTGCTATAATTCTAGTTTTATATGCAAACGGGAGGGAAAGCTGTGTCCCAGTCTGCAGGTGCCTCATCGCCCAGCTGTGCCTCCCTTGCGTTGGTCTTCAGATGGCGGTTGCGTCGGGTTTCCGTTGAATGCGGTTTTAGTGGAATGTGACCCTTGGTTTGGACCAAGCTCCAAGTCAAGGTGATGGGGAGCTCTGTTGGCTTCGCCGGATCATTAAGTAGTGATTGAATCACAGCTGTGTTTAACCTGTGGTTTGATTATTATTAGTTGGTCATGTAGTTGGATTATAGCTCTGTTTGGTTCTGTTTGGAGGGCTTTATTGCTAGCACGTAAGGTTTTTATTGTCTTGCAGTTAATATATTTTAGATGGATTAAATAGTCAATGGAAAGAAGCAAAACCACAAAAATAAACATGGGTGAATAATCTTGGTAGGGGAAAAGCCTTTCAAAGCGTGCCACTAAAGACAAATTCCAGAAAGGAGGAGATTTCTAGAGTTGAATAACTTTTAGCCCACCATATAATCAAACGTAAAAGGCCATGCTGTAGGCAAGCCTGAGAAGTCTCTGACTGCGAAACAATTAAAGGTATAGCCAACATTCTTTGACATGCAGAGCAAAGTTCATGAGAATGTAACAAAAATGCCCGCGTGCCAAAAGCAAAGAGGGACTTAAAAACCATAGCAGTAAACATGACATGGTTCTGTCGTTGTTCTGGATGGGGGTGGGGAGTCGTTGATGCTGTGAGTAATCTGGGGGTTTGGATTTCAGTGACCATGTAGAGAGAAGACGTGTCTTTGGGACAGTGTGAATAGGGGTTGGAACTAAGTAGCCCATAGGTATATGATCCTACCTTCAGTAAAACGGTGAACCAGAAAAACCACACACAGACACTGGGAAATGATAAAGAAGGAAGCTTATCAGTCTCAGCCAGCGAATGCAGTACTTAGAGGGAGATTTATAGCCTAAAGTGTACAGGGAGGAACAAAAGTAGGTTTGCTGTTATTCATTTGGAAAATAATGCAAAATTAATAATTAATAGTAATACCAGAATAAACTCTGTGTTTCATGTACTCACAACTGTAAACCCACTCTTGCCCTTCCCTATATACATTAAAAAAGAAAAGTTGGAAATTAATGAGCCAGTCATTTGATTCAAGTAGTTAGTAAATATGAAAGAAAAGTAAAGATAAAAGCAGAAAATTAATGCATAATTTTAAAAATGTAATTATGGAGAAGTTTTTTTATTTTCTTTTATCAAATGAAATGTTTTATTTTTTTAATAGTTCTTTATTCAAAGTATTACATATGTCCCCTTTCT